CGGCAGTTCCTGCTGCATCGTTTGACCTAAGCATTTCCTCCTCATGGTCTCTGAGTCTACTTTAAATGGGCAAGATAAGAATGTTATTTGTAAAAAAAAAAAAAAAAAAATGTTATCTGTATGCTCAATTTGCACAGGAGGGTAAGATGAGGCAGATTTCATAACTGGAGGAGGAGGTGGTCTAGTGCAGATGTTTGCACCAGTGACCCAGCCTGTCTGATTATTTCGGTGAGGTTTGTCTTCTGAGTCTGGAAAAGTGGATTTCACCATGAGAAGAGAGAAAGATTAGAGAGGAAAAGTTTATAGTTAATCACTGTTTGTGTTATAGGATTGTATTTTACTGGCTGCTATGAACTGTCAGAGGTGTTGCAGCATTCTCAACAACAGATTCTCTATTGTTTCAAAGACCAACCTTTCTGAAAACACATTGTCTGCAGAGTCAAAGAGCATCCCTTGGGAATTCCCCCAGGAAAGTAAAATAATGACGTTGCTTGTAGTTTAAATTTGGTCACTTTGCTTTCTGCTGTCCCTAACTGCTTTGGTATTTGCCAAAAACCTTAACATGCAGAATAAAGCTATAAGAAAACCAAGAAATGCAGAAATTCGGGTCTTTTAAGAAAGAAAAACAAATTCATTTTTGTTTCCTTTTGTAAACAGGGTTGGGGGTGTGTTCCACCCTTAGATCTATATAAAACACTCTGTTGAAGCCTCGTGGATGAAAACTACCTGCAATAGTATGCGGCAATGGACCTTGAGCATTACTGCACACAGGAAAACCACAAAAAGGCCCCGCTGGGATTCGAACCCAGGATCTCCTGTTTACTAGACAGGCGCTTTAACCAGCTAAGCCACGGAGCCCGCTCTCTTCCTAGAGTTCGAATCAATAGGGAAAAGGAATGATCTTTGCTTTTATTCTTTTACTGTATTTAGTTTTGTTAATTAAGAGCAGTCATCTACCGCTCATCCTACCGCGTGTAAAGCACCAGCTGGGAGTGGGGGGTTAGAGGGTGAGAGCTCACAGGAGCACACTCCTGGTATCGTGCAACACGTTCACACCGGAGCAGTCCTGGCACCAAGAACTGGTCTCCGAGGGAACAAGCTTATTTCATGGCCTTAAAGAGACCTGGAATTCAAGATACTAGTCATTCTTAACCCATTTCTTTTCATAAAATTAGTTTTCACTAGTTTACAAGCTTCTTGCTTGTAAGATTAAATAATGGAATTTCAAGGTCATGCCTTAAAAACGCAAGACTTTTACAATTAACGCCCTAATCTTGGCAGAAGATAAAGGTCACCTCCCCGCTGCAACTGTACATAGAAGCTCTTGCCCAAACGATCTGATTTGATAAAACGTCAAATTAAGAGCATTCACAAGAATTTCTATATGGTCATGGGGGCTTGTATATTCGTACCTGTTCCCACCTTTTGATTGTCTCTCTGTTATAAATCTGTCATTGGGAGTATAATTTGAACAAAGAGGTTTGGTGAAACCCTCAACAGTAGAATGTGTTGTCATAGCTGTGAAAACAACTTCCCAAATGACCTTTGTAATTATGATTGGCTGTTTTGAGATCTGTTGTCCTAGTGATTGTGCCAAAACCAATACATCAGTATTTCTAAGCTGTATCAATATCTGAATGTTTTCTGTCACACAACAAGGTAGCCATTGGCACTTACCTCGACCTAGAATAAAAGTTTATGACTTCCCCAAGATGGTTTTATGTGTCCTCAGGCTAGGCTAGAATGCCTAGTTACTCAAACACCAGTCTAGATGGTGTTCTGAAGAAATTTTTATCAGTTAATTTTAAATAAAGGTGATTATCTTGAGTAACACAAATGGGCCTCATAAAATCAGTTATAAGACTTTAAAAGAAAAAACCAGGCTTTTCTAAAGACAAAGAAATTCTATTTCAAGACTACCACATCAGCTTGTCTGAGAGTTTCCAGCTGGCTGGCCTGCTCTACAAGTTTCAGGACTGCCAATCTATAAGCTGCCAACTTCTGCAAATATTTATTCTCTCTCCATATATAAATATATATAAAGTCTCCTATTAGAATATTTTCTTCTGGACTCTCTCTGACTGGTGCAGTTACCAGAGAAAAGACTGAACACCACGACGGCATGGAACTGGAACTGTTGAAAAAGATACACTCAAGAGAAAGAGTCTCTCAAACAAGGTCAAGCTTACCAGTTTTGGGGTGCTGGAGTTCCCTTCTGGAGGTGGTTTCTGGGTTCTTTTTGTCCTGAAAAAAGAATTGATCAAGACAAGCGCAAAGGGTAGCAAAGTTTTATTAAAGATAGGAGAAGAAACAGGCTTTGCAGAATGAGTTTGGGCTAAATAAAAGTAGGAATAGAAGTACACCTAACAGTGTGAGGGTGGGTCACCAAGCAAGAGAGACCATTGGAAAAACTCAGTGTGGACAGCCCTTTTTGTATCACCCACTCCTCAGGGTGAGGTCAGGCCTAGGTCATCCTAGAAAATCCACTAGAGTTCACGCAAGACAAGTGCAGGGCTTTGGGCACTGTTCTGCGCATGTGTTCTGGGATTTTGTCATTAAGAGGTCTCGCCTACTACTGCAGCTAGCTTTGTCACTCCCTAATCTACTTCTCAAAACCATACCTTGTTGTGAACATGACTGACAAAATTTGAAGCAGCCAAGAAATGCATTCAAAATCTGCAAAACAAAGAGATATCTTTATTGACAAACACTGAGAGGAGCCAGTGTGGACAGAGCCTTCAGCCAGCTGATTTAAACCCATTGTGGAGATAGGGTTTCCTATGAACCTGGGATTTCAGAGATACCTTGGGATCTGGCTTCCAGGTCCTGGATGCATGATGAGGTTAAATAGGACCAGAAAGTCTCCCAATTGGTTTCATTTCTGAAAATGTTCATGCTTCTAGACTCTTGGGTAGAAACCCCCCCCCCCAAAATCCCTTTTTTTTTCTTTTCTTAATGGGGACCTGTGAGATTGGATGGGAAAATAAATTTTTATTATCACTAACTTATTACTAAAATTTCGTGTTTTCTGTTATGAATGCAGGCAACAAACCACAGTTGTATTTCAGCCTTCATGAATATCATTACTGGAAATCACAAGTATTTTCACATCAAAATATAGTGTTTGCCTGCTGGGGATCTTCCTCAAAGAATTAAAAGAATCATACCACAGTGATATATGTGCACCCATGTTCATAGCAGCACAGTTTGTGATAGCTAAAACTTGGAAACAGCCCAAATGCCCATCAACTGGAGATTGGATCAAGAAAATGTGGGTTTTGTTTTTATAAAATGCAGTACTACTCAGCCATAAAAAATGAGAAATTAGAGACATTTATAGCTAAATGGATGCACATTGAGGTGATACTCTTAAGTGAAATAAATAGGACACATGTATAAATACGAAGTTTCTCTGGTGTGAGAAACTGAAAGTGTAAATAAGGACTAAAATGTATAATAGGTAATGTGAAATAGGAAGAAAAGGGGCAAAGGGGAAGGAAGTGGGAGGGTAGGGGAAAGGAAAGAAGAGTATGGAATTAATATGAGAAAATGGAAAAATAGGAACAAAATCTTTGTAAATAGGAAGGAATGGAAGGGTTGAAGGGAGGGCTGGGCAAGGGTGAAAAATAAGAACCAAGAGAGATTACATAAAGGTGCAAATTTCCAATGATAAATGTCATTATATTGTATACCTAAAATGTACCAGTGATTAGCATGAATAATCAATAATGCAAAATAGGAAGAAAAAGTCCAAAGGGGTAAGGGTAGTGGGAGGGGCAGGGGAAAGGAAAGAAGGGAAAGGAAAAGCTGAGAAATGGAAAAAATGGAAATAAAGTCTTTGTAAATAGGGAAGGGTGGAGGGGGTGAAGGGAGGGCTAGGAATAGGGAAAAAATAAGAACCAAATGAGAAATGTAATTGTGTTGTATACCTAAAATGTACCAATAAAAGAATTAAAATATATATATATATAGAGAGAGAGAGAGAGAGAGAGTGTTTGCAAATTTCTTAAAATATCATTTGTATTTATTACTTCTTTGAAATTACAGTGTTTAAAAAAATAATAGTATTTATTAGACCTTCCCCGCCCGGGCTGGATATTATCATCTAGTGCATTAATAAAGGAGCACAAAAAACAAAATAAAGGAACACAGATATGTTATAATTCTAAAATATCAACATTTTTAATATAATTTGTTTTCTTTTGAAATCTTATATATTTATCTTTTCTTGTATATTTAAAAAGTATTATTCTGAGATGGAATCCAACATTACCAAACTGTGTTAGGGTTCTCTGGAAGAAAAGCTGGGGATAGGAGCTCTAATTGTGTGTGTGTGTGTGTGTGTGTGTGTGTGTGTGTGTGTGTGTATGGAGGAATTTATATAGGTCTACCTTAGTACTTCTGCACAAAGAGCAGAAACACGTGTATTTTTTGTAAGGACTGTTGAAACCATATGAAATGACAACAGATGTTTTTCTTTCTCAGCATGCATATGCTCAGTATCAGGCAATAGCCCTCGATTCATTTACAATGCGCAACAGGCATTGGGGGATAATGATTCCTTCTCAGAAATTCCTTCTCAAGCCACAACACACAAGACATAAGCGTTCGTGTGTCTGTGCAGTTGACGATGATCCTTTTAAAGATGTCAGATTCCGAGATGTCCTGCGCTAGGAGCAACACAGAGTCAGTGTCTAGCATAGTCTGGCTTAGTAAATATTTGGAAAAGAAAAATATTAAGAACCTACAGAGAGACAAAAGTCAGATCATCCCACCCTACGACGATTTTCAATGCCCTAAGCCCTTTACCTATTTTATTATTTTTTTCTCCGACCCTTATCAGTTATTTATTTAGTGCTTTATTATCGGTCTCAAAGGTATCAGTGTTTTTTGAGGTGAGGGTCACATGTGTTTTCTGCACGGTTTCATCTCTAGGACAGCGTGGCAGTACTGGATACAAGATTGGCTGCACGCATGGAGAAGAGACCTGGGGAAGAGGGGCGGGCTTTCCTCTCGTCGCCATTTTTGGCTGGGCAGAAACCACAGACCCAGAGAGCAAAGATCACCAGACCGGCGCAGCTGTGGACGCCGCGCAGTGCGTGTGCGCGAGTTTTGGCCAGGCGGGCACGCGCGATTTCTAGCCCCAGGCCAGGACCTTCCGGAAAGGACCAGACAGAAGCTATTTCTTTATGAGAAAGCCCCGCAACAGCTTGTGTCATGTGGAGGGCCAGTGGCGCAATGGATAACGCGTCTGACTACGGATCAGAAGATTCCAGGTTCGACTCCTGGCTGGCTCGATGTTAGAAAGTTTATTTTATTTCTTCTCCTAACCCCACATTTGCTCAGTGGAGCAGGAAAACTAATGTGAAGTTAAGTCTGGAGTCTCAGCGGCGCGGGGGCTACGCTTCTGACTGCAGCTGGAACCATCACTGATTTACAAACCAAATTTCGCATTCCGCATGCGGCCACGCGGTGGCGCAAACTAGAACGCGGCTGGAGACGCCTGCGGTCCACAAGCCGCGCCCACTCCGTTCCGGCTGAGCTTTGAGTTTGAAGTAAACAATGAAACCAAGGGGGAAGAAAGACTTTCAAATCTTGATGTTCGGAGTGAGCAAGAATAGTGGTCATTCGGGAAGATTACTAAAGTCTTTTTTCTGAGGTCTCCCATTCAGTCACTTGTAAAAAAAATCACGCAGGAAGTGGCCTCAGGTAGTCTGTCCTTGGCTTCTGGGAATTGAAGACCCTGTGCCGAAACGCATGCGCATATCGAGTAACGCGCGCTTTCTTGACTGCCTGCAGAGGGCGCGTCTACCCGGGAGAACTACCGATTGGGAAAACGGTTCTCTTACGAGTTTCCGTAGTGTAGTGGTTATCACGTTCGCCTCACACGCGAAAGGTCCCCGGTTCGAAACCGGGCGGAAACAGCTTTTTTTTTTTTTTTTTTTTTCCTCCCCTCCACTACGAAATTTTTTCGAAAACGTACTTCAAAAGAAGTCTGGACCCTTCACGGGCAGGTTCCCTCCTTTTCCCGTATTGCTGGCCAGCTCGGGCTGCAGTGCTCGGAGCGTTATTCCGGGCGGGCCCGGGATTATACCACCGCAGCCCCGGAAGCGCATCCGCGTCCCCTTCCTGTTCCCGCGGCGCGGGCTCCACGGCCTTCGCTGTCCCGGGCGCCGCCAGCGGGGGAGCGGCGGACTCAGGTGGGCGCCGCGGGGCTGGGCCGGGAGGGCGGGCGGGCGGGCAGCGGGGAGGGCAGCGAGGGCTGAGCGGCGTGGCGACAGAGGCCTGGCTGGCCTCTGTCCCCGCTGCACCCCGCAGGGACACACCAGGCCGAGCAGTCCTGCGCCGGCCCTCCGCTCCCCGGTCCGGAAGAGCATTTATACCCAGGGAGAAACGAACTCCGCGGGCACTGCGTCCGGAGAAAGTCCCGCGGGGGTTCTCACGTCGGCCCTCTCCCTCGCACACGGCCCTCTCCCTCGCACACGGCCCTCGTCTGGGTCCGCTGGGTCAGCCTGGCTCTCTCATAGCAAAGAAGGCTTGTTCCATCTCCTGCGGCGACAGGCGCAGGTCGGATCTCTTTAGATGTTTTAGCACTTAGGTCACCTCGGATGACTGATAGGAAGGTGATGTCTTTAGGATCATAAGAAAAGAAAGGGCACTCTTTAACCAAAGAGCTATTTGCTTTTTATCCTTTTTAACAGGCTGCTTAGAGAAGCATTGCTTTTCCCAAACCTGTTACTCCTTCATCTTCATACTTTCTCTGAAAACCTCATCTTCATGCTGTTTCTTTTAACAAGGTAACAGTTTTGCTTACAGCAAAACAGCATTAATGTGTGCTCAGTAGCAATCTGTGTAATACGTTTTCATTTAAAATCATCTCTTTGCCACTCAGAAATAGAAGCAAGTTATGCGGAACCCTAAAAGAGGTCAAAGGTCCCAGGACTTAAGGAGGTGACAAGGAAGTGTCCTTTCATCTCCTGCCACTGGGCAGAAGTACTACACCTACAAAGCTGTGTGTGCCCCTGGCCAAAGGCTGAATGAATATGGGTTACCAGATGTTTTCGAGATTAGGGCTCACTCCTCTTCAAACCAGACACGTCCTTCTGAGATCCAGCAGCAGCCCCACCCTTTTAGACTTCCTGCTCCTTTTCACCTTTGTTTCTTGCCCCTGTCTTTCCCATTTTTTATCACTTAACCCCAAAGGAAGCTTATCCTATATCTGAATACTTTGAGAGATGGAGAACCAAGAGAGAGAGATTGACACCATGTGACCTCCTGCCCCTGTAGCAAACTGCATCTTGCATAGGAACCTTTTATTTTATTGTACCCTTTTATCCCTATTCTGTATTTTACACTCCTTCCTAAGCGTGGTGTCAGTACCCTTCAGGTCTTCTCTCCAACACCAAGGCACTGTCTGTAGAAGTCAGAGGCAGGGTGAGGGTAGCTTTCTGATTTTGAAGTGAGGTTGAGCCAGAACTCAAGTTAGAACTGCCTCCCAGAAACCCAGTTCAGCAGCCATCAAGGGACAAAGGGATACAGCTCCAACCTGTCTTGATGCAGTGGCTGGAGACGGTGGGGCAGGAACGCTGGAAGAGATGGGATTTGGTCTGTGCTTGAGACAGACTTGCTGTGCAAGAGAAAAAATAAAGGAAAGAAGAGTTTGAGAACTATGCAAGACCTCAGAAAGAACGTAATCCAAAATGTGTCCCAGGCTGCTGAGCTCCTACACTATTCCCTCCAGTATCAATCAGTTGGCTTGTACTGCCATAACACAATGGCACAAAACTAGGTGGCTGAAATGACAGAAATTTATTTTCTCACAGTTCTGTAGTCTAGAAGTCCAAGATCAAGGTGTCAATGGGTTTTCTTTCCTCAGACTTCTCTCTGTGGGTCACAGCCACCTTCTCATTACATCCTCACAAAATCATCCTCTGTGTTCCTCATGTCCCAATTTCTTATGAAGGCATCAGTAATAGTGGATAAGGACTCACCCAGATGACTCATTTTACCTAATGGTTGAATAAATTAGGAACTTTCACAAGAATTTCAGTCCAGTTATATGCAATGTGAAGAGAAGGGATTCAGATATTTCTTTAATTTGTTCTGTTCTCTATTAATGAAACTTTGTCCTTGGAAGGTTATTTTTTTTAAAAAAGGACTTGTTGTGGTTCTAAAACTTTCAACCTTGTTGCCATGTTTAGGAAAATAACTTCACTGTCTTGATAATTTCTTGCCCTGGTGATCGCATTGAAATTCAACTTCTTGGCATTTCTAAAAGCTGTAATGTTACTTGTAGGATTTATCTGCCAGTTAATAGTTGTCCTTTTCTTTAACATGTTGCATGAGTATTTTTAATGACTCCTACATATTATTCAACAATTTATTTCTCCCTTTTTGGAAACTCTTAAGAGACATCTTTTTCTTACATAAATAGCCTTTTAAAAAAAGTTTTAGATTTATAGAAAAATTGACCAGACATTTCCTACATAAGCCCTTTCCTCCTAACATGCATGGTTTAAAATAGGGAGCTCAGTGTATAAAGTTCTCCAGATTTCCCACATTACATAATGTCTACCCTTGTATTAGCGCACAGAATAGTTTCATTGTCCTAAAAATCTCCTCTCCCTCACTGAGCTACACCCCCAGCCCTCAAATGCTTTCTCCTAAGTTAACACCACTGTGTGATGACAGACTCTTCTCTAACCCTCCTTGGCCATCATGGGAGTGATCTGCACTTTTATCATTCTGCCTCTTTTTCATTATCTGTGCATCTGTCACCTCCATCTGTGAGGTCCCTGAAGAGTCAGCTGCCTGCTTACTTGATTGGCTTCGTAAAGGTGAGTTTCAAGATTGTACTCTGTATCTACCTACACAGATGCAGCATCCTGGCAGTGGCCCATTTTCCTTGACTTTATTTTGTCACCTGCTGTGTTTTGACCTTTGTTGTGTGGTAATTGTGGTCCCCTAGTTGGGACTGACTGCCTAGGCTCTCAGTTAGTCCAGAGAGCAGACTATAAGCATTCTCTTCCCTTATAGGCGAGGAGCTGTGAAACACAAATTTGTAGAAGAGGGTAGGAGAATGGTATGGAGCGTCCATTCTTTAGGGAAGTGTGTCCAGGTGAAAAGTTCATTGGTGGTTAAACATTCTCATTCAAAAAGGCCTTGAAGAAGCCAGGTGTGGTGGTGTATGCCTATAACTCAGGTGGTATAATCCCATCATTCAGGAGGCTGAGGCAGGAGGATTGCTGTGACTTCAAGGCCAGCCTGAACTACATAGACTCAGAAAGAAAGAAACCCTAAAGAATATATGTTGAATATTTAGCGTGGCCTTATCTTTCCCTATCCAAGTTAGGATACTTTTTGAGAGTAAAAAGGACCATTATTAATAATTATACTAGGACAGTAAGTATAAATCAAACCACCCTAATATTAAACCAGCTAATTTTCATGCTATGAAATATTTCTGAACATTTGTTCTTTTTGGTAAGAATCTTTCACACATTCCTTTCTGGTCACACTCCATACTCACAGCTGACCTTTGTGATCTCTGGCATTCTTCTTAATTATTTTCTTTAGAAATTCTTTTTATTGTGTCAAAACTTTCATAATTTTTTAAAAAAATTTTGAGACAGGGTCTTGCTATGTATAGTTCAGGCTGGCCTTGAACTCCCAGAGCTCCTCCTGCCTCAGCCTCCCAAGTGCGGGGATTTCAAGCGTGTACTACCACACCTACTTCTAAACTAGGGCTGGGGATTTAGCTCAGTGGCTCCACTGTGTGCCTGCTTCACAAGCGAAAGGTCCCAAGTTCAATTTCCCAGTACCAAAAAAAAAAAAAGAATAACACATTTCTTTAGTTGGTATGCATTTGGGCGAAGGGGAAAGGGGAATAATTAGGCATTCATTCATGTATGTCTGGAGGATGTCTTCTGAAGAGAGCAGGCAGCTCTGGCTGGCTCAGTGGAACTGCTGTGGCCTTGTGACTATGGGGAAGTCAGTGGCACTATTACTTACTGATCTCTCAGTAATCCAGTCATTTTGAGAAGAGGGAAGGGAAGGGTCTGGCTCATTTCACCTTGGCTTTTCAGTGAAGAGCTGTTCAATGAAAGCAGAACCATTTTTTCCCTCAATTCTAGTTACTGTTCCCAGCATATCTCGCAAGGTAACAGGGGAAATAACAACTCCCACTTTGGTTTTTCCCTCTTCTTTATACTAATTTTCACCTCTCCCTCTCTTCTACAAGAAAGAATGAAATTGCAACATTTCTGGACATTCTAGATAATTTGATGTTTTAGCACCATTTACAGATGATCACTTTGTTCGCTTTGTGATATGCAGCTCAAATCTAAACTTTCCTGTTTATGATCATGGTATTTAAATGGTAAGGTCCAGCAAAAGGGAAAACAGTTGGGCAAGGTGGCACACACCTATAATCCGGGCAAGGTGGCACACATCTATAATCCCAGCACTTGGAAGCCTGAGGCAGGAGGATTGCCATGATTTTGAGGCCAGCCTGGCCTACATAGTGAGTTCAAGGCCTGCCTGAATTACAGAGGAAGACCCTGTCTCAAAAAAAAAAAAAAAAAGGAAGAGAAAAAATACTCTGGAACAATTTAGACACGTGACAATGATTTTTTTTCTCAAGATACAAAATTGTAGAGTTAGGGAAACAAACATGGCTACAGAACTTCCCAGGAAATGTTTTGAATGGTGGAGCAGAAGGTACCACAAACTAATCTTGGCCCAAAGCTTTTAGAAAGTTGCATGGTACCCGTGAATGCCAGCCATAGGACCAGTTCCTAGTTTCACAGACTCAAATAATTTTCTATTCCTGTGATTCTGATCTATCCTCTGACTACTTTTTTATAGTATATTCATTCTTTTTTTTTTGAGATGGTCTCACTGCATAGTTCAGGCTGGCCTCCAACTCATGGCAATCCTCCTGCCTCAGCCTTCTGAGTGCAGTATATTCATTCTTGAGCAGACACTTAAATTTTTCTGCATAAAAATATAGAATACATAAGCCATGTGCCTCCCCCCTACATCTCCTTTCAAAGGAGAAATGCCACTCTCACCTCCTTATCTGTACTGGTTTGTTTGTTTGTTTGTTCTGAGACAGGGTCTCCCTGTGTAGTTCAGGCTGGCCTTGAACTCACTATGGAGCCTAGGCTGGTCTGAAACCACTTGGGCGATCCTCTTGCCTCAGCCTCCCAGGTGCTGGGATTATAGGCATACTCCACCACGCCCTCGTAAATTTGATTTTTAGTGTTAAATTTATCCTCTTTCCCTTTATGGTTTACACTTTTTGTGTCTTATTAAAGAAGTTTTCCAGGTGCAGTGTGGGGAAGGCAGAAGCATCCGTGGGCTGGTGAGCCTCCAGGCATTGCTGCCACCATGCCGAAGAGAAAGGCAAAAGGAGATGGGAAAGGGGATAAAGCAAAGGTGAAGGATGAGCCACAGAGGAGATCGGCGAGGTTGTCTGCTAAGCCTGCTACTCCTAAACCAGAGCCGAAGACTAAGAAGGGCCCTGCAAAAGAGGAGAAGCAGCGCCGAGGGAGGAAGCGGAAAGCAGAAGGAGGCAAGGGCGGGCGAGGCCCTGCCAAGAACCGGGAGGGCTCTGAGGTGGGGTCACAGGAGGCCGAAGGCACCGAAGAAACCAAGTGAAGGGCCCATTTTCCACAGCCATGCCCTTTGAGTGACTCAACAGCTAGAGATAATACTATTTTTAATCAAGTTTTACAAAAATGTAGAATTTTGATGTTTTTAAAGTTGTCAGTACACAGCATCATGCCTTTGTTGTCTTGTGGAAAGGGGAAATACCACTATTAGATTGTGTCTGACAAGCTGAATTGAAGCGGGGGGAGGCTAGGATTTTCTATCCTGGAGTTTGAAGATTATTCTTGGTTCCTAGAAAGATTCTCTGTTGCTCGCCCACATGAGCCGCAATGGCACAGAAGCCTTAGAGCTCCGGGAAGACGCTTCATGTCTCCTCCTCCCTTCTGTCCTCCTCACAGACGTGACTGCATTAACTAGGAGCCTAGGTGTGGCCTTGACACCCCTCGGATCACCATGTCAGCTCTCAATACTCGGGCTTCCTGGTGGTGACCTCAAGAAGGTGTTGCTCTTGGGCCAAGATTTCTGTGCTTTGCCTGTGGGCCATCCTGTTGAAAATCCTGCAAGTTTTAGCTCAATTCCTTCATGGCAGAGTTGGCCTCTGAAAGCTCCTATTGCCTCCTGTGACATGTCCACCCGCTGTGTAACGTTTTCTTGTTCAAAGCTGCAGCGAAAGACTGTTGACTTTCACAGTGACTTTGGGGGAGGGGAGTTTGGAACTTGAAAAGTGCTGTAGATTGCTGCCCGCTTCTTCCTGGAAGGAATTCTTTGTGAAAAGTACCTTCTGAAGCTGGATACAAGTTAGCTTGAAGGGAAGATCATTCCTTCCCCAAGACCTCAAGATATTCTTTACTGCCCTGAACTGATTTTTGTGAAATGTATAAGGTAGAAATTAAATTTTAGTATTTTTTCTGTCTGGATAAGTAGTAGTCCCAGTGCCATTTATGGAGAAGTTTATCTTTTCCCCATTAATCCCTAACTCTGGATCTTTCCTAAGTCCAGTGTTTGTACAGCTGTGGGTCTGTTGATGTCTTCTATCAATTTGTCTAACTTTGTGGCAGTACAATACAATCTTAATTATTACCACTTCAGAAAATGATCTTAATAAAAACCAAGATGCCTTTACATTTGATCGTGACGTTGACCAACCCTGCCTCTAATATCACCACCAAATTTGTCTTTCTGGGGACTGTCTTGGCTTTTTACTCATTTGCTCTCCCAGACATCTAGAATTAGATTGGCAAGTTCTAAAATAAAATATGTTGCAATTTTGATTGTATTTGTGTTGAATTTATAGATTAATTTACTGAGCCATGTTACCTTTATAATGTTGGGTTCCAGTCCATGAACATAATAGCTCTCTGTTTATTGAGGCCTTTTAAACACCTTTCAGTAGTTTTATATCTTTCTCCTAAGAGTCTTTTGTTAATATTTCCTAGAGAATGTATGCATGTGGCATGCTTTTAGTTATTACATTTTCTAGTGTTAGCTAATGTTGATTTCAATGTTTGTATCCAGCAACCTTGGTAAACTCATTAATTCTCATATCTGTATATTCTTTTGAGTTTCTGCTAATAACCATATGTTCTGTGTATATAATTTGTTTTCTCAGTCCTTATTCTCTCTCTCTCTCTCTCTCTCTCTCTCTCTCTGTCTCTCATTTTTTAGACAGGGACTCACTGTCCTTTCATTTATTATGTAGCCTCAAATTCATGATTCTCCTGCCTAAGACTCCTTGTGGCACCTTGCCTGCTTTTATTCCTTTATAGTCCAGGTGGTAAGGATTCAGCAGTAAACAACAGTGTTTGCTCTCTTCAGTTTTATGTTGTAGACTGGGGAAAAGTAGAGAAAATGCACATATTTATGCAACAAGGGGACTTTAGTAGTAGTGTAGGTAGGTGCTATTTAGAGTGTTTAGGGGAAGTCTTTGATGAGATGACATTTGAGCAGAGCCCTTCATGAAGTAAAAGAGGCTGGGCAAGGTGCCCCATGCTGTAATCCCAGCAAGAGGATGACCACAAGTTCCAGGCCAGCCTGAACTACATAGTGAGACCCTGTCTAAAGCAAATAAATAGGCAAGCTGAGGGGAAAACTTTCCAGAAAGGGAATAATAACAAGTACAAAGACATGAGATGGAAATGTGCATGCTGAGGCAGAAGTGACTGAACTACCCAGCACTTGGGAGGCTAAGGCAAGAGGATTGCTGGAAGCTCAAGGTCAGCCTGGGCTACATAGTCCAAGGCCAATCTGAGCTAAACAGCAAGGCCTTGTCTCAAAAAGAAAAAAACATTGCTGAACAGAAGGGAGGTTGGTCATAATGGTTGATCTGACTACAGTGAGCTGGGGGCTGGCAAGTGAAGGATCTTGGAGGCTATAGTTTTTCTCCGAAAGTAATGGGATGCCATTGGAATTTTAAGTTGAGAAATGACCAAAAAAAAAAAAAAAAATGTGTGTTTGAGAGTATGGCTGCTGGCAAAAGTGGAAGGAGGAAGACCAGTTAGACAGCTGTCACAACAGTCCAGCAAACCATATTGATTACTTGGACCTGGGAAGAAGCAATGAAGAGGGAGAGAAGAGATGGGAGGTGGGATGTGAGTGCTGACAGGCTTGGATGAATGCTCAGCCTCTCTGCTACGATCCACCCCACCCCACCCCACCCACTATTTGTCGGTTGAAAACTTATTCCCTAACTCAACAGTGTGGAGAGGTGAGGCTGAATGTGAGGGATTTAGGTCCCGGAGTGGTTTCATGCTGCTGTGGGGGTTGGGGGTGTGCTGTGCAGGACTGAGAAACTCCCTTATGCTCTTCCCCTAGAAGAGAGAACAGCGCTTCCGTCCCCTGGAGCACTGGAGATGCCATCTTGGAGCAGAGACTAGAATCTCACCAGACAGCAAATCGGTTGGAGCTTTGGTGTTCAACTTCTCAGCCTCTGGGCCTTTGAGAAATAAACTGCTGCTCCTTATAAATTACCAGGTCTTTTGATATTCTGTCATAGCAGTACAGAATGGACTGAGACACCCTCTGAGCCACAATTTCCTCAGTAGTAAAGCAAGAAAACATCTTTGTAACATTTCCTATGGAATTAAAGATAATACTATAAGAAAATACTTGGTAGTACAATTTTCTAGGTTAGCATCTTATTTTTTTGTACTGGTGATCAAACTCAGGACCTTGCACTTGCAAGGCAGACACAGTGCCACTGAGCTAAACCCCCAGCTTGTTTTTGTTTTTGAGACAGGGTCTTGCTTTGTAGTTCAGGATGGCCTTGAACTTGCAGTGATCTTCTGCCTCAGCCTCTCAAATTCTGGGATTACTGGCATGCAACACCACTCCTGGCTAAATTAGCATCTTGATGTGTAAAAATCCATTGGAAATTTGAAAAACTACTTAATATTTACCAGAATTTAATCACCACTGGAAAGTTGAAGGGGGGAAAAATAAAAAGATTTAATGAGCCTGCAAAACTGGGGACCAGGCCACTCCATGTGAGGCCTTTACTAAAACCAGTAGTTTATATCCTTAAACTGGAATTATATACCTACTAACAGTATTTCCCTTTACAATAATGCTGGAACTTCTACTTTATCATCTTTCTGCTTGTTATGGCTTGTGTCTAGATGTCCCCCACAGCCTCACGCAGTCATAGGTAGGGCTTTTCAGAGGTGGCTAGATGTAGAGTGGACAGGGCTGCAGAGGGCTAGGTTGGTCAGCCTGGGCTCAAGTGGAGCAGATGGGCCACCAGGCCTGGGAACCTGGGCGCCAGCTACAGCAAGGTGACTGGGAGTAGGAAGCCTTGCAGCAGCCCACAGGCAGGCCTGGGCGCTCTAGTGGCAACTCAAGGGCATCTCTAGGTCATTTTATGAGCCAGGATGGAAGCTATTGGGGAATTCTGAGAGAGGAGTGACAGTGCCTTTACAAGTAGCAGGAGCACCACAGTTGAGAAGAGAAATACAGTGACACAAGGCCAGTGCCTCAGACTGAAAGGTCAGAAACGTGATTATCAAAAGTGGTATCACTCCTGCTGACTCAGGGCAAACACACATTCTCGAAGAAGTCATGAAGTACAAGGCAAACATGATTTTATGGCAGGACAAGCATAAAACATTTTTATTACTTCGCTTTGGTTTCTTAAAAGAAATGAATGCCTTCTGTAAATAATTTTTTGTGAAACAATAAATGAGGGGAGGGGGATTCCTACTTAGTCACATCTTGTGGTCAAGTCAAGAGGCTGGTCTTCAGGTCTCAGCTGGCTGTGATCTTGGGTGACCCCAGAAGAGAGACCTCTCTGTCATCCAAGGAGGTGAAATGACAAGGATAGCAAACACAGGCACTCTGCTCAGAACCAGGCTGCACTCCAAGGCCACAGCACACAATGTCCTCAGATACGATGTCTTATCCTGCCCATGGTAGTCAATACTGCACACAGCCGTCCAGGAACCAGCTGGGATGTGTTTGAAAACAATGTTCAGGGCCCAGATCAAAGCACTGGCTTGATCTTCCTTAGAAATGCTGGCCTTGGGTGCAATGCAGCCTCAGGTCCAGCCGGAGTGGACCCAGAAAGGCCACCATGGGGCAGCAGGACATGGGAAAGGAACTCACCAGCACCAGGGTCAAGAGGGTCAGTGCCCTGAAGAACTGCAAGGCCCACTCTGGTGCCTTCACAAGCACCTTCACAAGCCAGGCCCCCAGTGCTGCCTCAGTCACAAGGGACTCCTCATGGAGGGTAAGCGTTGTTAACTCCTCTCAGCAGGAAACATATCCTCCTCTTCCTCCTCCTCCTCCCTGCAAGCTTTCCCCTGCAGGCAGATGGCGGGGGAGTTCGGTGAAACTCTCTCAGCTCTAGATCACTGAGTCTTAAAAACATCATTTCAAGTGGCCCATGGGCCTGTAAAGTGGGCAAAATTATATGACAGAACAAGTGTCCCATGGGTCTGTAAAGTGAACAAAGAGGCTTACAGGCCCCTCTGATTTCCTAGTTCATTGAAAACTTCCCCACTTCAGGAATATTTCTTTTCTTTTTCAATATATTTTTGTTTTAGTTGACACATAGCACTTGTACGTATTAATGGAATACAATGTGACATTTTAGTACGACTATATGTGTAATGATCAGATCAGGGTAATTGAACTCTCTCACCTCAGACATTTTGTTATAGTTCCTCTAGTAATGGCTTGCCAATTAAACATATTCCAGGTCCTTCTCATCTCGGACAAAGAATTGAATGAGAAAAGGCAAAAACGGTGCCAAGTCCATTTGAAAAGTGAAGGTTGAACTGGCTCAGCAGAGTGAACCTGGGCTGAACAAAAGAGAGGAGAAGATAAAAAGCAGAAAATGAAAGTATTCCCTGGGTCTGGGAGACACAAGGCGGGATACCATTAACGGGACACGATGGCAGTGGCAGACTCCTCCTGGTATCAGAGCTCAGCCTACTTAATTACTCAGTGAGATGTAGGTGCTAAAACAGTGCTGTCCACACACTCCAGCCTGTATTTAGGACGGGAAATTAATCTGGTGGGTATGAAGAGTAGCAAAGTAACAAGAAAGGGAGGCTTTGGGGAGGAGGACAGGGTTTTAAAGCTTTGTTCCTCCGGGTATTCACCAAACGTGTTTAGGCCAAGGGTGTGCCGAGACCACCACATGGGCTCCCCAGAGAGGAGGCATCCAGCTTTGGGTGAAGAAGAGGAGCCCCTCACGTGAAGAAGGAACAGGAAAAAGACAAAAGTGAGATTCAGGATTTGACTACATGGGTTCTTTTTATTTATTTAATTTTTTTTGGTACCGGGGATAGAACTCAGGTCCTTGCACTTGCGCAGCAGGTGGCGAAACCACTGAACTAAATCCCTGGCCCACTACATAGGTTCTAAACCATCCACCCATGGAAGGAAAGAGTGAAAGGAGACTTCACACTAAGGATTTGTTTTTATTTTTTAATTTTAATTTTAAACCAGGCATGGTGGAAAATGCTTGTAATATCAGCACTTGGGAAGCTGAAGCAGGAGGACTATTGCCTGTTCAAGCCATCCTGGGCTCCACAGTGAGTTCAAGGCCAGTCTGAACTATATTAGCAATTCCCTGTCTCAAGAAAACGAAACAAAGCAGATTTAATTCTAAACTTGACTTTGATGAGAAGAACTAGAAGAGGCCTGGAGGCAACAGATTAAACTGAAGTTGCATATGGAAGCAACCGAAGGAAAGGGGATGTGGGGGAAATGTACCACCAAAGGCAAAGCCAGTTCAGCAGGGCATTCTTTCCCTTGCAAAAGATTTCAGGTGTTATC